CCCACCCAAGAACTACAGCTGCGATTTGTTCTGCCAAAACAATCAAGCACTGTTGACTCTCTGGGTCCTGCCAACACAATCAAGCACTGTTGACTCTCTGGGTCCTGCCAACACAATCAAGCACTGTTGACTCTCTGGGTCCTGCCAACACAATCAAGCACTGTTGACTCCCCGGGTCCTGACCCATGTCCTACCAACACAATCAAGCACTGTTGACTCTCTGGGTCCTGCCAACACAATCAAGCACTGTTGACTCCCCGGGTCCTGACCCATGTCCCGTGTCAACACCTGACTTTGTGATACCATCAAGAAACGACCCACGTGATAACCTTCCCACGCGCGGGGGAGGGGGAGGGGGTGGGGAATCTGATACGCCTGTACAGGTACCAGCAGAAAAAAAATGTCCCAAGACCGATAACTCTAAGTACACAATAAAATTAAAGATTTTCTATTCGATTGGATTGTAGAGAAACAAAGTTTGTTAAACAATGTAAACACTGATTTTGTATATCGCTGAGATGAATTTTCAAACTGTGTATGTAAACAACACAGGCCGAAGTCCTCAACGCTATTGTATGGCATGTTGAGTTTGTTTAGTTTTGTCTATGGGCTTTAGTGTTAAGCTATTACAGAGAGCCGATTAAGGCTCGAACTACATTACGGTGTTAATGTAATATTGTTATTATATACTCCGGTTTAAAGTATTTATATGGTTTGATGGCGGTGGTTAAGGTGGTTACTTACTTACTTAGTTTGGTTAAGGTTACATTATTGCAATGGCGTCAGAAGCCAAGTACGGGGAGGACGGGGGGGGGGGGGGATGGTGCGACAAAAAATTCGTAACATTTATTGTCAAAAAAAATTTTTTATCCAGTTAAGATAACAAAGTGAGGACGGCGTGGTCGATTTATAGAGCGTTTGACTGCTAGACTCCCAGTTCGTATATTGGTTCGGAATCATGACTGAAGAACGTCACTGAGTCCACTCAGCCCTGATGTGTACCTGGCTCATGTTAGGGAAAGTATAGGCGGCTGGGTATAGTGCTGACCACACTATCCCGAGGTCATTAAAACATATGAACTATACTTCATCTGCCCTATGTGTCTTGAGTATGAATGGGAAAAGATTAAAAATTCAAACAAAATAGTGGAGGGAGCGAGGTGACACCAAATCGAAAATACTAAATTATTGGAGGGGGGAATGACACCCTTAGTTACTGCAAGGTGAGAGACCCGATCTCGTGACGGGTAAATATTAAAGACATAGTACAAAATAAAAACGTTATTATAATAGTTATTATTGAAAAGAATGAGAAAAGAATTGATGAATGAGAAATGTTGCGATGACACAGTTAAGAAGCTTTGGAATTTGGAACTAATAAATTTTTTTCTTGAATTTTAATATATTTTCAGTTACAGAAAGTTTTATTCTATTAAATCCTTCCTGAAATTTCAAAACTTCTAATTAGTATTGATATTTAAAAAAATAATCGAAGTGATAAATAATTTCATAAACTTCGCTGATATAGCACTTATATAATCTTTTTTAGTCATGCATGACTGGAAGATTTACATAGATAATATAATTAAAATCCAAGATAATTATATATTATTTAATATTTAGAATTTAGAATTTTACAATTCATCAATGCTGTTTTTTTCAATACTTATTTAGAATTTTAATTAACTAAATGATTATTCCGCCCCCGCCCATTTTCCGACACAATGCACCTTTGTTATCAAAGACAGCGATTTTTGCTTTAAAAATATCATACAGGCTTCATCAGTCGTGACTGGTCTACCAGCTTCAAAGGGTATGCACAACAAATTTAACAAAACACACATGTAAAGTGTAACAACAAAAAAACGGATTAAAATCAATATAAAATGTAGAGAAAAAAAATTAATCTGCCTTCAATATAGTTTTAAAATCAAAATAAATGTTCGAATTATAAAACAAAACAATAACCCGATAAAATGTGCAGATTAAGATACCCCTTTGAAGCAAAGTAATATCCCGGTCTTAAACCTCTTGATAGAGTGGTGGTTCTATTGTCAGGTGGCGCTTGTTTGAAGAATTTTCCATCTAGCAACACGACATACACGTATCTCATTTTACTCGTAATCTTAGCGAATCACATTCTTTGTTACTTCAACATAGTGGTCTTAGCTAATTACACACCTGGTCATTTCAACATGATAATTTTTTTAGTCATTTTTCTATCTATCACAGTTTGTTCTATGTTTAACACTTATTCGAAATTTGAGTTGTAAAGTATGTTTCAAGTTGTATTAAAGCTGTTAGATACCGCAATAATGAAAAGGTTTGATGGTCAGTCAAACTTGTATGTTGGTCAGGCAAACGTGTATGATGGTCAGTCAGACTTTTAAGGAGGTCATTCAAACTTGTATGATGGTCAGTCAAACTTGTATAATGGTCAGTCAAACCTGTGTGATAGTCAGTCAAACTTGTATGATGGTCAATCAAGCATGTATGATGGTATCCTTTAAACCTATCGATCCATTAGGCAGAAGAAGTAGAGTTCACATGTTTCTTGAAGGGAAGGTGTGGTCAGCACTTTGCCCAGCCGCCTTTACTTTCGCTAATATGAGTTAGGTACCCATTAGTACTGGATAGACTCAGAGAAGTTCTTCTGATTAGGACCCGGATTTGAACTCAAGACTTTTCGTGTTAGGATTCTAGCGCTCTACCGCTTAGGCCGCGCCTTCGCATAGTTATGTAACAGTGTAGATGTCTAAATCGTGCCTTATGGGTCGGGGTTGTGTCTACATAAAAATATAACATAACAATATCAAACCCCACCCACCCCCTTCCCCCCCTACCTCTCCTCCCCTCCCCCAAGATCCCCTTAAGATATCCCCAGTGTCCTCTTCCCGTCCTGCGTCGCGGCTTTAATTCACTTCTCCACCGTGACGTCACATCCGCGCAGTAATTGCCAGGCTGGTGGTTCTGAGCGTGCCAGATTTTTGTCTCGTATTTGTCCATGTCGATCTCGTATTTGTCCATGTTAATGTCGTATTCGTTTCTTGAACACGCGTCGAGGGCGTTTATATTGTTAAATACGACCCTATGTTATAGGAATGGAATCTGTTAAATTTATCCCATTGAACGAGGGGGGGGGGGGCTTGTCAAACATATCGAGGGCAGCTCACGCAACAGAGTTAATTCGAGCAGGAGCTTCACTTCTGGTAGAGTTTCTCTGGCAACTATTAAGTTATTATGGCCAGATAATACTAGTGATGGCGGCTGTGTTATTCTATCTCTAGAAAATGGGCCTCCTAGAGGTGGGGGGGGGGGGCGGTGACGTAAAATTGTTACGTCCCTTACCCAGTTATGTATTTTTGTGGATCAGGTTTTTTCATGGGAGACTACGCGTACAAAAAAAAAATTCAAAGGGAGACTACTTTTTTTAAAGTTTGAAATTGGTAAGGTAGTAAGAGAATGAGATGTAACGGCAAAAAAATCTTAGAATCTTGATCTTCAAACACAAAAAAAAATATTGTTCGGTGATTCAAGAACAGACACGGTTTTAAACAATTGGCAATCTTTGCGTTGTCTGTATTATAAAAATAAGGGTATATTATTTGTGTTGGTGTAAATGTCATTTGCTTACTTTCGGGGTCTTGATTTTCAAGCAAATATGTAGATTCAAAATATTTCAAAAATAAAAAACTTGTCAAGTAAAGTATGCTTAATTAAATACAACCGATATTTCACTCATAAAGATTGAAATTAATTTTTCGCAAAAATAAATCATTTTTATAAAAACCCTAGTAAAGTGAAACCAGGCAATACTTATTTTTTAAAATTGCAGATAATTTAATTAGTGTAATAAAAGAAGTTGACACAAAGAAATATTACTTTTGTAAATCTGAACACTGGAAATTATGCTTACCTCTGGTGGAGTAAGCTTCAGGAGAACAGTTGTAATGAATAAGTAGACACAATGAATAGGTGCTTCGTTTTTTAACTAAATGCGCAGGAAATATTTTCTTCTTTTGTCCATTAATATTTCTTTTATTCATCTGGTGATCTAATATAGCCTAATTACACGGATAAAATAATTGTAGGTAATGGTGTTCCTTAAAGTAATTTAAAAGCACTCAGAAAGTAACTTTTAAAACCTTACGGTGCATCGAAAAAGTGAATTAAAATTCTCGTATTTCATGGATGAAATAATGTGGTCAGCACAATGCCCGGTCGCTTTTTCCTAACTTGAGTCAGGTACCCATCAGGGCTGGGTGGACTCAGGGCAGTAGCATAGCGAGGGGGGGGGGGACATATGTCCCCGGGCGCCGACCTTAGGGGGCGCCAAAGTGGGTTGGAAAAATAAATTGAAAGGTTGAGGGGGGTGCAAATCGAAAGTTTGAGGGGGTGGTGCAAATCGAAAGTTTGAGGGGGGGTGCAAATCGAAATCTCGAGGGGGGGGGGGGGTGCAAATCGAAAGTTTGAGGGGGGGTGCAAATCGAAAAGTTTGTCCCCGGGCGCCGGGAAGGGTCGCTACGCCTCTGACTCAGGGACCCGAGATCCGAACTCGAGACTTTCCGGTTAGCGCTCTACTACTCAACCACATCCTCCCTTTAGTGGTCGAATCGAATGCTATAGCCTTCAAAAATTAAACTTTGAAGTATGTATTTTAAAAAACGGCATTAAAGAAATGGCCTCGTCTCAATACCAGCCGTATAAAAATATTTTTTTTACTTTTAAGAAATAGAAATACGTTTGTAAAATTAATACGCTTCTACACTGAGTATTATTTCCAAATCGTATTCTCACAATACAAAGAATGCCTTTTTTTTAATTCTAAAAATAGCCATCACGTGACTACAATATCGTCACGAGATAATAACACTACAACTTCAGGCTAGGAAAAAAAAAAAAAAAAAAAAAAAAAAAAAGCTCATAACAGAAAAAGAAAGATATTGCCTTTGATTATTATTGATTAATATTGTTAATATTATTTTTTTTATAAATTTCAGAATGAAGGAGATAAAATTTTGTCTCTGTTGGCCAGTCGAGTGTCCAGTCCAGGACTTTGAAAGCCGGACAGTGGTGTCAAGCTGACGATAGTTTCAGAGTTCACGTCTGCTAGTTTTCAACGTTTCCTGTTAGTAGCCAGCCATCACACTTGTTTTGTTTGACCAGTTCAGTTTTTTTTTTAATTATTTTTTTTTCTAAATATAGATCTATGTATACATGTTCCAAAAAATAATTATAATGAACAAAACGAAATGGTTTGGTTTTCAATGCTATTGCAAACTAACCAGTAAATGTTTAAAAATATGGAAAGTTGAGTATTAATGGTGAATAAAGAGTCGTCCATAAACAATGTCAGGCTTTAAAAAAAGATTTTTTTTCCTAACCCCCCCCCCCACCCACCCCTTTCCCTATTGTCAAACGTAAACAAACAGACCCCCCCCCTCTTTCCCGCTATAAATGACGTCATACCTCAACCTATTAATCACATTTCAGAATTATAATTTTATGTTTAAACATCGATTTCATTCTAAAAATGTGTACGGAGCTCTATAAGCATTGGGTATGTTGATCAATTTTTAATTGCAATTTACGAAATGTGTCTTTTATAAAACGCAAAAGAATGACTAAAATTCATTTTACGACATTTGAAAAAAAAAATTAAACAACAGCGTGTCGTTACAGTTACACACTCTGAGCTCCCCCCCCCCCCCCACTACCTGCTCACATAGGATCACAAATGTCCAACCTCTCCCCCCCCCCCCCCCCCCCAGGAGTGTGGCATTATTTATGGGCGATCCAAGTTCGTAAAATCATGTGTACATTTTTTACAAATATTGTAACAAATTAAATACAGCTGACGTTGATTATGAACAGAATGAGTGGAATTTTGAAAGAAAAAAAAATATTATTATTAACATTTTCAGTTAATTAAGCAAATAAAGGAAAGAATACTATTTTAAAACGTGTAATTTGTTTAATGAATTATTTCGTTACTGTTTTTTTTAATGTATATTCTCAAGGTAGCTTCCAATGTATGATGTCATAAATAGTATTTCCCTTTTAGAGGAAGATGTATTTGAACGTTCGTAAAAGTTTGATGAATAAAGTTGGTGGGGAAAGGGGGTGGAATAAAGCCTGAACAATATGTTAAGCTACCATAATCAAATATAATAGTTAAAAAACAACTTTACTTTGACTACATTATATAAAATAAAACGTGTAAATCCGTAGCCAACTTTAATTATAAAAATCGGTGATCCCAATTTTCGTTTTTCGGAAATAAAATCATTTATAAAAAACAAATGTATGCAGCTAATTTTGGATCAGTGGCGTAGCTAGGGGAGGGCGGCCGCCCAGGGCGCCGACCTTAAAGCGTCGTTAAAAGGGGGTAGAAAAATTAATTTAAAAGCTCATTTTAAACTGAAGTCAAAGTTACGAAAATATAAAGGGAAACAAAGGCTTCACAGACTGATATAAAAGTTGTGTGATACCGAAATAGAAAATGTTAGGGGATAGTAACACTTGGTAAGAAGCGTCAGGAAATTTTTCAAACGGAGGAGTGGGGGGGGGGGGGGCGCTTTTTCACAGACAGGAGTAACTATATATAGAAATAGGGAGGGTGCGTGCACAAAATAGATAGTCCGCCCCGGGCGCCAAAATAGGTCGCTACGCCTCTGATTTGGATGGGGACTACAAAAGGCAATGCTACTTGTAAATATGTAAGCAAATTAGAAAATATTTTAAGTCGTTGCCGCCCTCATTACAGATTCAGTGCTACTCCTATTCCCCTTCTGAGAAAAAAATATTAATATTATTTAAAATATATAGAAATATATGAATAGATTATATATATATGAATATTTACATATATATATATATATATATATATATATATATATATATATATATATATATATATATATATATATATATATAATCGATCGCGATTAAAATGTTATCTATAATTAATAAGATTTTATGAAATTAAAGAGTATTAAAAAAGACTGATTTTACGTCTCAATTCACGAGGAAGTCATTAATAGTGATCTCCCTTGCTGTCGTCTATGTTTTCACACAGGCACCTATAGAAACGACTTAATGAAAGGTCAAAGAAAACTAAATGGTTATGCTGAGGTCTAAATATTTTTTTTAAATGTGACATCATATTTGGAAGCTGCCTACAACCATCAACTGCTTCATTGTATTCCACACAAAGAACAATTCGAAAGTACGGTTTTACAAACAAACAAAAAATGTTGAAACGCGTATTGTGAAAATAGGACTCCAGGTGTTGAAGAGGTAGACTCTAAAATAATTTGTCTTGCTTGATTGAAATAAACAGTTTATTTGAAATAAACGATGCGGGTCCTACGTTTTTGTGTTTGTTGTAGCGTAGTGTGGTGTCGTCTATTGCAGTGGTTCTCAAGTAAGGTTCAAAGTCACAAGGAGATTGAAATCTTGATTTGTGATCTCAGGCAAGCGCGTATTAACGCTTTCTTTACTTAAACTTTCTTTTTCTTCTGCGTTTTTTTTTTTGGCCTGTTATACCTTTCAGTTAAAACCACTTTATTAACCATTGAAACAACATCCAGCAAAAAATATTACCAAAAAAAAGGAAAAATATTTTCGATTTGCACCCACCCCTCGAACTTTTCATTTGCACCCCCCCCCCCCCCTCAAACTTTCGATTTGCAACCCCCCCCCCCTCGAACTTTTCATTTGCACCCCCCTCATTCTTTCAATTTGGCGCCCCCCCCCCTAAGGTCGGCGCCCGGGGACGTATGTCTCCCCCCCCCCCCCCGCCCCACCCTCCCCCTCGCTACGCCTCTGATAACTAGGATAACTCTGAATCCAACAACTGCTTGGTTGGATCACTTCTCCTCTTTGTACCAGCCTGGCATATCTATTTTAAAGTTGACCCATTCCACTGGAACTTTCTTACGTATCATCTGACCTCGGGGGGTTGTGGTGCCAGCAGGTAGGGTGATGCAGTACATAGGTGCCACAACACTGAATACACTGGTTCGTGATTGCTGAGAGCTCTTCTATCACGGGGTCTGGTTTGGTAAGTCTGGCCACAATCCCTGGTGAACACTGTTGTACGGTAATATAGCGTTCTTCGTTGAGTTTATGTTGGAGGATTTAAACAAGTCCAACTTCGTTGATGAACTGGACTGTGGTCTCCAGATCTGCAGGCGTCCCATATAGTTTACTTGAACAATAGCGCTTAACCTAATCTGGTTTTAAGACTTAAACTTGATCCATATCACAATCGTAAACAGCTTTAAAAAAAATAAACGTGTTCCTACGGACCTGATGCTCGATTGCGCAGAGGAAGTAGAGTACATCAGTATTTTTAAATATATTTGTTGCGTTATGTTTTGGTAGTATTATATGTATCGTATTATATTTATCTTGGTGATGTCCCTTGAATGTCGAGTCTCTGTGTTATATTTATCTTGGTGATGTCCCTTGAATGTCGAGTCTATTTGTGGCGACTGTGTACCATGTCGTGTTGATGTGTAGTGTGTTATGTCAAGTGAGTTCGCTAAGACGGAAGCCTGAGAAGACAATACATGAGATCAGAGCTGTGATGTTTATAGAACAAAGTATTGAAGTTAACTTAAAGAAGTCTCCTGCGAATACCAAGTGATAAGAATCAAGTAATGTAACAGTATTATAACAGTAACAGTATTATAACCAGCTCCATGCCCATACGCTTTTGTGGATGGACACAGGTACGTCCTATGGAATAGATTCAGGGGATGATTATAGATACCGGTGTCCGATAATGGAATCTTCTTTAAAAAGAGGGTGTTGGGTTGTTACTATTATTGTAATCTCGACTAATTTTATTGTAAGAAATTAGGGTTAGGCGTATGGTTGGACCAGGGTTGGGGTTAGGGTTAGGGACAGGGTTAGCATTGACATTAGCCAGCCAAGTGTGTATTTAGTTAACTACCAGTAACCTAACACCCCTTTTTTTTAAAGATTACATTATCTGACACCGGTATAAAAGCAATATTCTCCCCTAAATGAAAGGGGTAGGAAGAACAAAAAAGATGTGATGCCCTGTCGGCTATTGAAAGTGTAATTAAAATATTTCGTTGACAAATAGGCCAAGACCCGGTCATGACCTGATCATAACTGTAATATAAATTTAAATGGTTTGATACATTTTTTGTCTACGAACAACACCAAAAAAACTGCATTACATAATTAACCACATCCCTTCATCGTCAATAAATTCTGATTACGAGCCCCCACCCACCCCCTCCCCCACACACCCGACCCCCAAACACAAACTGGTTACGTCATTTACAGACGACCCATTTTTTCCTTAAACTCCTCCAGACACACATTTAACTTTACAGACGATACATTTTTTTTTTAAAATTGCAAGTAAAAAAAAAAAACGACTACTAAAAACCTTGAACACCGCGGCAACAAGACACCACGTGACATGAATGAGACGACACCAAGGCAATCAAGTCTTCATTCATTAAATCAGTCCGTGTTTGCTAACGCCATTGATCAAACACTCGAATTGGTTTACGATCCACCCCATGGCTAGATAAAGATCGACTATTAAATGGTAGCGGGAAAATCCAAAAGCGCATGAAATCGGCTATTAACAGTTATCGGGAAAAGCCGAAAAGAATCGTTTGTCGCTTGCGTCGTTTTGTTACTAACCGAAAGGCAAAAAATTATTTCCCTTTTAGGGAGTGATCTCCCATTGAAAATAATGAGCAGGTGAAGTAGATTTAATATGTTTTGTGTAGACTTAAAAATGAAACAAGCCATGATGTAGTGTACTTCATAAAATGAGATTGGGATTGGAACTTGGGACAGTCAGTTTACAAATCATGAGCTCTAGCGTTCAACACAGTCCATCAAATGAGGTTAAAACTTTTAAAATGGCTTTATTTATAATTTAATTTAAGTAATACATTAATACTTGTTGGTGAATTATTTAGTCCTAAAGTCCTAAACGCTAAAAAAAAACTTTTAATTAACCTGGTTAGTTAATTAACTGCAAGGGTAAAGTCCCAGATGTAAGGATCTAACACCGTAAACAGAGGCGTAGTGACCCTTCCCGGCGACCGGGGACAAACTCTTCGATCTGCACCCCCCCCCCCCGTCAAGATTTCGATTTGCACCCCCCCCCCCCCCCCCGCTCAAACTTTCGATTCAACCTTTCAATTTATTTTTCCAACCCATTTTGGCGCCCCCTGAAGTCGGCGCCCGGGGACAAATGTCTGTCGTCCCCCCCCCCCCCTCGCTACGCTACTACACGTAAAGTCTACAGTGCAATGTCTATAGAAAAGGTCGACATGGTAAAATATACAGGAAAGGTCTACTTGAAAGGTCTCT